ATATTAGGTAATCTATTGCTATTAAGAAAGCTAGCTTATACACTTTTGCAGTTGCACTTATTAAAATGTATTTATAAATGAGAGCTTTGTGAGTAAACCACTGAGCCATGATGCATTAGAGATAACTTAAAAATACTTTCAACAACAAAACCCGTTCCATAATCTGACCTTCAAGGAATAAAGAGATGCTTACTAATACTAATGACGGTCCGTAGTTAATTTGCATAACTCATTGTTAGTTTCACATAGTAATTTTTGGCTTTATACACCCCGCAGTCGAATGTCTTAAAATCACTGGTTTGGGGAATCTAGCTTTCTTTTTGGAGTCATTGATCTTTTGACTTAACGTCCTGTGTTGTTTTGAACAAATTCAAGGCAAGGCCAGTGCAAAATATTATTTTTTGATTCTTATAATCCAGCTACAGACCTCAGTCATTTTATTTCATACACAAGTAGGTGATCAGCCTTCTGGTTTTTATTTGAGATATGCTGTATTTCTCACGATGTTGTCCTTCGCCATACGAGCGAGTATCTAATGCGCACGTAGACAGAAAGTCAGTGCACAGCCGGAGATCGAACCTACTACCTCAGGGATGGGAGTCACACGCTGAAGCCACTAAGCCAACACTGCTCTTTTTGATAAATGTGACTGCATTAATATTACTATTTTAGTAGAGAAATGTTGTAGTTATTAAGACAATTCCAAATTATCTCTGATATCAGAAATACTTGAATTGTATAAAGATTTTTGTTCGCTATCATAAATAAAATTTTCCCTTTGAATTTTATATGGAAATCACCGTTATAATTTTATGATAACTTTAGTATTTTACATCATTATCGCTGTCAGTATCTTCTTGATAAATGTCTCAATTATCTGTTTAGTGTGCGCGCGCGCAGTGGGGGACGATTCAATATACTTGTGTAGCACAGAATCGCAAGGGATACGATAGTTTGTAAATTATCTTATAAATTCTGCCTTTATTTGTGGGTATTTTACCCTTTGAAATTACTCATCAATGCACGATCGCATTAAAAATAATAATAATTTTATTCATCAGACAAATACAGTACATTGATTGATTAGTAAGTTAGCAACAATAGTTTCTTAAAATCTATGTTAGTAGAATTAGTAAAAATAAGAAAAAAGTAGTTAAACAAAAACTATTAGGTACAAAGCCCTGCGGCGATATCGGAGCAGTGTCGTAAATAGGGGCACTCCATTCTCTCGACTATCATCCGTAAGATGTTGCTGGAGCTGCCCCGCACCCGGCGCACCAAAGACGTGCACCGCTTTCGCATAGTGGCGAAAAAGCAATTCAATAAATGCTTCACAAATCATTATCTGGTATAACGCAGAATTGTAAATATCGGCACGTCGTTCACGCATGTACTAGGAAATAATCTAAAACCCATTCAAACGCATGTTTCAAATCATTACCTAATTTATAAAATACACCTTCTTATAAAAAAAGCAAGCCGAAAATAAACGGGCAGGAGCTAATGCTAAAGTGATACTGCCGCCCATGGACTCTGAATGGTACTTGGCTCTTGAAGGCCTATTTTCACAACTTTAACTAGAGAACTTTTTTGTCTCTCTCTATCCAATTGTGTTAACGCTGTGTAGAAAAAAACCTCTGTTACTATCACGGTTTCGTTCCATGCCTACATGAAATCCTGAGATTAAAAATACTAACTATTTTTTTTTTTATTCAACAAAGAGCTTGTTGACATATATATTAAAATCAATGCAAAAAATATTATATACTTACCTAAACGTTATTTGTGTATAATAAGCAATGTTTAAGGATTTATAGTCACTGTCTACGTATTTCAGCTAGAAATCTGGCGCTCGTCATAAACGGCCGCTAATAATCTTTTGCAGTCAATATTAGAGTAAAACTTAGTTATATTCTTCGTTTGAAAAATAAGACAGCGTAATTCAAAATGTAACAAAGATAACTCTCAAAAAAGTTGAAGTGGAAATGGGTCAGTCACACTGCGTTTGTCAGGGCAGATGGATCAAAGAGGTTCCTTACATGGTTCTCCCAGTGGTCAGAAAAAGGAGAGGTCACCCACCAGACAAATGGATGTTAGAAGCCTTCCTAGGGTGGTCGTATACTAGTATTAAATATAATAGCTTATACTTAATGTACCTATCTTAAATTATACTACTCAAATAAAGACTATTTTTGTTTATTATTAGAGTGTTAGTTATTAAATGTAAATAGATTGTATGACCTTAAAATATAGTGATATATATGGCCTATGCTGAAATAAGCAAAACATTTTTGATGTTATGCTTCTTTAGGTGCGTTATGAAAAATTTATGAGAGTGAAATTTTACGATGCGCGCGCACCGTGACACAAAATTAACAGAATGAAGTCCACGGAAGATGCTATGGCATTGGACATAATTTAAAAACAACATTCGAATAATAATAGAATTTATGTTACACTTAATGCAAAAGAATAATAATAAATATTTATTTATTTAATTTTTCAAATGTATACTGAACTTTATTGACTAAAATGACTCCTCTTCCAGTCTTTGATTATTTAATTGTAATTAATTATTTGCATCCAATCAAAAACTATTTTTAATAATGCCAAAGAAGTATAACTTCTTACGCGCGTACATAAGTACACGCACCCTTTTTTTTCGTAATATGTAATACTAAACCTTGTTCTTTAGACCACGTCCACATGTATAATGGAACTGAATAATATCAAACACTAGATTGTCTATAAACCACGACCTATCCCCACAATTTTTATTTAACCAAAACACGTTTCCTCGAACATGCTCAACTAAACGGGAATCGAATTTTGGACATCGAAACTCGTAGCAAGTCGTAAGCCGACACTAAACAGTGGCTTACCACTGATCAGGTGTCACAAAAATGCCACACAAATATCAGCCCTACTTACTTTTATTTTAAACTCAGTATTTCATAAAAACCCGTATAGCTGAGAGTATAAAGTATTTTGAGCTTTATTTTAAGGTAATTAAGTCGGTTTTTCTATATCGCAATTCGCCTGCCACTGTGCAGTATTAAGTTACTAAACCAAATCATTTTACGTATCATTAAACATTTAACATCTTAACGTCAACTTCTGTTTGACCTTTTTGCGAGACGAAAGGGTTTTAAAAGGTTTAACGATTATTCGTAAACCTATATTACTTGAAAATCAAATTTTGTTAAGTATTCAAATAAATGATAAAAATCTTTCGTTTTTGATTGATTTTGCTTGCTTTTTTATGTTCCAACTCATTGTTCTAGTGGTTAACGTGTTGGACTGTAAAGTATGAGGGTTCGAATCCCGGGTCCGCCGAAAATTATATATACGTTATTGTGAGTTAGACTTTTAGTGCTGCGATTACTGTTACTATGCCCGATTCGTTTTAGAAAACATTACATTACCAATGTAACGAAAATATAAACACTTTTAAATATCAATTTAAATTCCAATGTGTGTAATTTTAAAATAAATAAGGAATATATAGGAAGATCTTTAAAAATTCATAGCATTGATGTCGTCTTTGTACGGGAACTCTTAATATTAAATTGGAATCATGTTGTATCTTCAAACAGATACTTTTCCTCCACTAGGACCTCAACAAACACAGCACTTAGCTGATCGCAGTTAATATTAATTTGAGCTACGGTAAGGTCAATCTCCTCTTATGAAAAAATCTAACAGCCCTGATTGGTTAAATTACGGGTTTCTTAGAAGCGGCCGCTTTGACTAATAAAGCTTTCTTCAAAATGATTTGACAGGCCGTCGTTATGATTTCATATATTACATTGTATTTCAATGTCCAAATACACTAAATTTGCTATATTTGAATAGTTTAATCATCGATAGCTTAGCACTTAGAGTCATTAAAATTTAAGAGACAACATTGCTGCATAATGGAAGTTTAAAAAATTATATATTTACTAGCTGACCCGGCAAACGTTGTTTTGCCATGTATATTATTTCTAGGAAACATTTTTTTAGTTCAATAAAAATAACTATGTACTATAATAAAAAATAGGGGTTGATCATAGAGGGTATATGAAAATTAAGGGTTGTATGTATTTTTGTATGCTGTATCATAAAAAAATTTTGGGTGTCCACACCCTTTATCACTTTGAAAGATAGATAGTAGCCGATTCTCAGACTTACTGAATATGCATAAGAAAATTCATAAACATCGGTCCAGCCGTTTCGGAGGAGTATGGGAACGAACATTGTGACACGAGAATGTTATATATTAGATAGAACAAACGTTACAAAATCTATAAAGTAATGTTAATTATAACAGTCTCATTATTTTTTAAACAAATCTTGCTCTCTGTTCCAATATTTAAATAGTGCAATTCGCAGATTCTAAGTTACAAAAATTTATAGATTGATAAGAAACTGAATTTAGCCAATTTCAGAAATTCCTCGTAATTAAAAAGCGAACATACATTGCTTTACAAAGCTGCACTAGTTTGAGTATTAACACAATACGAGCGAGTGCAATGATAGTAATTACGTAATGATAAGTCGTTTAAATGCGGCCTGCGGGAGGATTGTGTACCGTCAGAAAAATCTTTACTTGTAAATTAGTTGGTACAAAGGAATTGTTAAGTTTCTTAAAGCTTATAAAGATATTTGTATAATTACTAGAGATTTAAATAAAAAACCTAAAAGGTAATTAGCTTACACTGAGTCTTACTAAAAATGTGAAGAACATAATAATTTCAATCAAAGTGATAACAGCAATATGCTGTACAATTTTAAATACACCTTTAAACGAATGGAGTGACAATTCTCCAAGAATATATAAAATTTTGTAAACAGAACCTTTTTTTTTTATTGTTGGGAAATCAATTGACAGAACCAGACAGAACTTTTAAAAGTGACGTGGAGAGTGTGGAGATCTGTCTGTGAGATGCAATGGACCCACTAAAACCCAGTAGCCCCCATCTGTTTGCTATGGACGGGAGGCACGGTAACAGTTTCCCTTAATCCTTGTCCCCGTGAAGAGAGTCTGCTGCGCTTCTGGAAGCACAACTTCTGGATGCCCAATCCCGTGCGAATGTCACAGTACGTACGTAATCGCGTCGTTGCGGTCGTCTCCCAAGCAGTCTACACTCCTGAACCCTCTCTGCGTTTTCTTTAAGTGATACGATGGCCTCACAGAACGCTTTGAAAGTGTTCCACGGGCCGTCTCTGTCAGCCTTCACCATAGCTTTCACTTGGGACAGATGCAATCCATCAGCTCTGGGATGTGGGAAGCCTATCAGCGTCTTTCCGTATAATTTTTCCCTTAGAGGCTTCTCTCTCAATAGATCTGGACGACGAACTATTATTTTTTGTACTGTTTCATATGATTTCAGTATATCTGCATAATGAAATATTGTATAGATTGTGTAGTTGATCACATTTGAATAAAGATTTATTGTCAACCCCTTACAACGTTAGAATAAACGCATACAAAATAATAATAAAAAATATTAGCATACTATACCTTTATAAAGTAAATTTGATTAAAGTAATATACATCGGCAAACAATTATTTATTCATAGCTTGTGCGTCGTCAAAGGCCTCTTTTAATATTTCGTTCGTCCGTTCTCTAGCGGTGGAAATCCACATTTGACCCGCTCCCTTTTTATATAGTGCTCCCTTCTTCTTCTTTTATGCCTGCCTCTCTTTTGTTTCCCATGTGGGTACCACTCCGTTACGATTCTGTTCCATTTTTGCTCCTTCTCTCATTATATGAACCATCTATCTCCACTTCAGTTGTCAGTAACAAGTTGAAGTTGTCCTCGTGGCAAGAGAAAACTCGGTTGACTGAGACTGCGGCGTGTCGGGGGGATGGAGTTGTCAAGGATCACAAAACAATAGGTGTTCGGAACTGGACGCTAGCAGCACGAGATGGATTGCCATGACGAAAGATAGTAGCGGAGCCTAGGCTCATAAGGGGCTGTACAGCCATTGATGATGATATTATTAACCATATTTATTTACCCTAATAAACAATTATTTAGTAAATTCATTTTTCAATTTTATTTTTTGTAGAAATATATCTTCAACGCCTAAAATTTCTTGTCATGCTGATGGTACTTTTCGTTTCGTGGAAAGAATTCCAAAACATTTGTTTGATGCGGCATAATAAGACACAATTATACAACTTGTTTTATTTTCGATCATAACTGGCCTAGTGTAAATGGCTTGAAAAATAAGAACCACTTTCGTTACTTAGTATAACCAAGTTGGTAATTTCAGTACTAATTTAATAATAATCAGTGGTGTTACAGCCCTTGCTTTTGACCTCAGATCGGCCTATTTCTTGATAATGTTCTGCCGCCATCAGACTCATTGTAAGGCATGCCGATTTCTTACAAAATTTTCCTTCACCGTAAGAGCGGCAACAAAGAGTCGTTCATTCGTATACAGCCATGGTTCGAATGCACGATGCTGTCAATATTACAAAATATTTCAGTACATATGTCTTATATCTCCAATTATCCCTTATCATGAGTTCATCATTTTTTGATTTAAAGGTGGTAAAAATTGTGATGCATCTGAGTTAATAACTGCCCAATTATCTTAATTTATAACGTAACTAGCTGACCGGGCAAACGTCGTTTTGCCATGTATATCATTTATAATAAAAAAATAGGGGTTGATTGTAGAGGGGTGAAAGTTAGGGGTTGTATGGATTTTTTATTCAAATTTCATGAGAATCGGTCGAGCCGTTTCGGAGGAGTTTAACCACAAACACCGCGACACGAGAATTTTATATATTACATTTATCATTAAAATATAAGTAAATAAAATATTCTATTTTCTGAAATATTTAGAAAACCAAAACCGAATGAGCAAACAATTCCGTATAATCAGTATTTTTCAAATTTGCAAATTGACAAATAATGTCTATGCCCGAAAATTTAAACCGAAGAACTTCACGCTCAACAATTGTACATGCGTAATTATAATAAATATCTCATCAACAATGTCTTTTAAAAACGCATATTTTATTAAAAGTGCAATTTAATTAGACTTATCAGTTTTGGACCACCCGCTAAATTTTCAAAAACGGCAGATGTTTTAGCAAATGCCATGAGCCTAACTACTTTACGCGAACATATTCTTAATTGTGATGGAATACGTGTTAAAATTGTATAAAACAATTTTACCGTTAAAACACTGCCCTTTGAAATAGCCGACAACTTTTATTTTCTCTAAATGACATTGTTACATAGGCTATTTATCATTCTCGTTTTTAAAGATTAAATATGTTTTATTACACCCATTTACGGTTACCTGTGCACTAGTTAACTTTTCCCCCAACAGCTTTCATTATATTCAACGATAGTGGTAAGTCTTTCGCTTCAAATTGTGCCTATCGTATGTATTTGTACAATTAACAAGGAAGATTACGTATTAATTACTACAACATATTAATTGTAATTTAATAAAAAAATTGACGTTGTTATGGAATTAACTATGTGTAGTTTGTAAATCTTACACTTAATTTTATAATGAATAAACACATTTTTATATTACTTACAATCGGCCTATACGACGGGGCATTTTTTTTTAATTTGGAAAATTATTTACTCAGGGATAATAAAGCTTTAATGGTGACTATCTGTCAATTCATTATAAACACACATAAAACAAAATATTTGCTAGCTTATAATACAAACGGTACCAAAAGTAGTTTTTTCTTTGCCTTTGTTCCATAATTAATTTCATAACAGTATTACTTAAAGTAAGGAAAAAAATACCAATGTTTTTTAACGATACGCAAATTTAAACGACCATGATTGTGTAACTTCTAAAATACAACTTTATCCTATTAAAATAAAGTCAAAGTTCGGATTATCCAATTCTATATCTATATTGGTTAATTGAACTGACTAAAAATAGTAAATAACATATTTTAAAGTCGGTTTCATAAAACTATAATCATTATTATTAACACTTAAATCTGGTATAGCATTAGCATGTGTTAAGGTAGATAAGGTACTACCTACTAGCTGCATTGAAATGCGATGAAATGTGGCCATAATATGAAAAATATCAAGACGTAACAAGATAGTAATAATAGGAATTTGTATGGAAAAATTGGGCGTGGGCGTATTTGAAACTCAACGGAAGCGCCAATATTCATCGTTCATTCATCTTAAACAAATTTTAAAGAAGGTGTTCGAGCTATCAAACACTGCAATTATCGAATTAACGCATAGAAAACTTTGAACCATCGTAAACTATGTGCTAAGCCCCATTTAGAACATTATTAAAAAAAGGTGTACGATTTGAATTTAGAATTACATTTCGCTCTACAATGTTTTCCGTATAACGATTTTTCTTTTTTAATATTTTTTCCACGCTTGAAGGTCCACATACTGTATGTTATCTCCCTGCTTTGCCCGCAATTAACCCAGTAATTGATGGAAACTTGACGCTCCAACGATTTGTGGAAAGCACTCATTTATATGCAATGTTTTTGCTTCATTAATGTTTGTTTGTGTCTTTACATGATAATTATTTCATTTCTATGATTTAAATAGAATTTTCTAGAATTATTGTTAGCGGTATTATTTGGAAGTGAAATATCATTGTTAACTAAATATTGATATTTAATATTGAGAGTAGTTTGATCTTATCTTGAAGCTTTCAAAGTCAAAGATTGACTTTATCGGTTTTAGTTTCGTTTAAAATGACACGTTAGGGACAAGTATGAATTCAACGGCTATTTAAGTCTAGTTAAGATTCAGAGTTGAGACTTAAGGTATCCAGAACTTAGGCGGTGGAAGTGGCGTAACTATACCATCTGGGGCCCGTGGCAAATTCTTTTGATGGGACCCTATCAGTAAAAATCGTCACGTTGTACTCAGTTTAATTTTAATAAACTTCGAGATTTTCAGCGTACTCAATTACATGTTGTATAATATGTCTCATATGGCTATAGGCTCCTCTCTTAGGCGAGAGGGAATGTTCTGTAGTCCCCACGCTAGCACAATTCGTATTGGAGACTTCACATTCATCCATAGAACGTAATATCTCTTGGGCAGGGGCCCTCTTGGGTCGGGGGCCCGTGGCATTTTGCCAGCCCTGCCGCTCTATTGTTACGCCACTGGGCAGTGGTGTCTGACTCCCGTACGACAAAAAATGTATTGGATTAAGGGAGCGTTTGTTCGCGTTAAGATTCTCGTTTCTGAATTTCGCCCTTAGCGCCAAGTATGACTACCTATTCAATTTCCCCATACGGGGAGTCATAATTAGCATCATATTGCATAAAGATTCTTCTTATTTAATATTTTAACATTAAGACGATTTTGTAACTTTCTTTTAGGTTTTCTAACCTACTTGACAAAGAACATCGCAATTTCGCCTTTGACTTGAATAACATATATTAACTAAGGAATTCCCTAAAACAGTTTCACACACATTCCGTAAACTTTGACCCAAACTAGAAAAGCTAATAACCGGAAATAAGTAGTCTACAATCGCGACTAAACATCGAATTTAAACAAAAAACGGCCCATTACATCGTGGGAGACGCAATTATTTTCCAATTTTAATCAAATATCACCTTTCTCTTCCACTTAGCTATTTAAATGTCAATCTCATAGCACCTTTGTCTTAACATCAAAAATCAACTCTAATGATACATTTCAAAGATTATATTCCCTTAATGTGATTTCATATAAAACAATTTGATTCTCTATGATTAATGTCTATGATCTATTTCTCTTGGATTCTGTTCTCAAAATAATACGGGCTATTTTTGCGTGTCAGTAATTTAAAGAAATTGATAAAAGATTGCAACATTATATGTAATGTGTAATTTTTCTTTGAAGAGATCAGTCAATGTCATAGAACAATGAAGTTTATACAGATGTAGGTATATTAAATTAATACGAATATAAGTATCACATTTGAAACGATCTTAATGAAATTGAAGAATGTTGCGAAACTTTCTTTTAAATATGTAATAGAAGACAAAAAATCCTAAAAAGAGGATTAAAAACCGGCATCGAACCGACACTTATAAATTACTAGCGACCCGCCCTACGCATGGGTAAGTAGTTATAATCTAAGCAACTTACACAACATTTGGCAATTACTACCTTCAAATATCTAAACCATTCATAAGAACCACTATGAAAACTGCATGAAAATCCGTGTAGTATCCAGTTCAACGCGAATAGACACACCCGGCGAAGAACTTATTTGTCAAATGTAGAGATTAATTATCTTACTAAAAGCCTCAAATATAATAAACTAATTTACGTACTGAGTTACTTTGCAAACAATATATTCCTAAATTGGTGATCAATGCATAATATTCTCGAGGCCGACTCGACCACAATATTTCTATTGTGATCATTGGAAGACGTTCCTTCCATGCACGGAGTGGCAAACTTTCCAACTTAGGTCTAACATTGAAATTTTTATGCGACTAAGCGAACTTAACAACTACATTATTACTACACTATTAATAATATCTTGTCTATGTGTCGAGTTACATCGCATATACAAAATGAAAAGACAGGAAATAAAATTGCAATAAAATCGTCCATATATAGAGCGATCGTACGGGATACAGCCGGTGTATAAATGAATTAATTTTCTGCAGTTTTCACCGCAACTATGGGTTTGCTTCACGCTCGGCTTGGAAGCATAGAGAGTTGTTTTGGATGTTTTGCGGTACGTAAATAGTAGATTTTTATGGAGAGCAATGACTTTGGTAAGGATTTGCATTATCTTTTAATTATATTAATCACTAGCTGGTGCCCGCGACTTAGTCTGCGCAGGATTAAAATAATATTTGTCCAAATCATGTAGCGTGAAAGACATATTTTATCTACTTTAAATACCAGAAACGTTAAAAGTATATATTTTCATTTAGGAATCAATTTATTACTACCAAATGTGTATTTGAAATAAATTTTCAATTTTTATTGTAGTTATTATTTACTACTATTTTGGCTCAAATGGCTTACACATAAACAGAGTTATCTAATCTAAAATCTTTATAAATTGTAGCCTACGTGTTATTCTGATGTAGATGCTATTTTATTGTAGTTTAATTAAAAAAACTATTCAGTAGTTTTTACGTGAAAGAGTAACAAACATCCATCCATACTTACAAACTTTCGTGTTTATAATATTATAGTTGGATAAACGGTAACAAAGAAGTTATCAGATATAAAACTCTTCGCAGTTTTCTTGGTAAATCAGAACGCGAATAAGAGAGTTAGATTTCTGGCAAAGTTATTATTGTTTCACTAGCAGACTAAGCAGATCACCTATTTAACGATATTATAACAAAAAAACAATGTAAGCGATAGAAGTTTGTGCCATTAAAAGGAGAATGGGAAACGAGTAGGTACCCTAAGTACAAATTTGGCAAAAGCGTGCAAAATGTTTATATTTTCATTGCGTGTTTTTCGACCTTTATTCAAATTGCACACAAGTACTTAGAAGTGTAAAGCAAAGTAAAGAAAAAATCACACTTAGTACGCAGTAGTAGGTTTTCACTTTGCGATGATTATCGCACGCGCAGTCACGAAATAGCCTAAAGCCCGATTGAAGTAATAAATGTTTCACCACAATTTAAATTCGATAAATCATGTTATTTTTGTAGACTGTATTTAGATCTATTCTCAAATTTTAAGACTTCTTAACAATAAAATACTTTTATATTTTAGTTGATTTGTTTGTTTAGTGTGCTTCATAATCATGGGTTGACAATTAACATGCATTTAAGTGATTTATTAATTAAAATAAATGATTATATCGGAAAAATAAAATTTAAAGCGGTTTTTAGTGTCTTTTAAAAAATCTAAGCTAGCTATTAAATTTGCATACGTATACGGACAATAATTATTAATTTTACAAATTGAAATAAAAATTATGACGGAAAAATAGAAATTAAAGTGATTTTTACAGTGTCCGTAAATTACACTTTAAAGTACTATACGTATAAATATAAAACGCTTCTTTTAAAATGTATTTTTTTAGATTATTGTTGTAATACATTGCCATTATAAATTCATTCTTTACGAAACGAAATTTCCAAAAAAATTAAATGCTGCCATTGCATTTTTGTTAGCTTATGCTAACTAATAAGGGATACAATATAGCTAGGTATATATTGAAGGTTTTGAAATATTTATAAGTGCTTAATAAATCATCCGCCTGTCAAATAAACAAACCCTTGTGTTAAAATAAACTGTTGGATTTTAATTCCAACATTCAACTTCCGTTTTAATTCACAATTGTTTGTATGTCAGTCTACCGTCAAGACGTTCACCACCCGCTAAAAAAATTGTATTTGGAACCATTAATGCATTGTTTCAAAATTTAAAATATAAATTATTATTTACTAGCTGGCCTGGCGAACATCTTACCGCCTAACAGTCGATTCTTCATTTTTTTTAATACTTATTCTGCTATTCGGGACACCGGTCTAGCTAGTAAGATAAAAAAAAGAAAGTTGATAAGACAACAAATACATTATGTCAAAAAATAAAAATTTACCTTCCCGGAACCCCTCCACTAACACTTGAACTTTATGATATGGTATTAAAGTTCAAATTGACTTTCAAGTATTATTACGAATATTTTGTATAGGAATATAGAAAAGTGTTGTTTTTAGACTTTTTCACTCAATTTTTTTAAATTTTTCTCTCCGTAAGAACCATCCTCGTACTACAAGGAATATTATAAAAAAAATTTGGCTAAATTGGTTCAGGCGTTGTTGAGTTATGCGCTTACCAACACATTTTGCGATTCATTTTTATATTATAGATTATTGCATCTGAATAAAATATATTCTACGCCTTTTTACATTTCGTTGCAAGACAATACAATTAAAATAACTAAATAAACTTAGGCAACTGGCGGTCACTGGTATATTTCTTGTCCGCGATGAAAGGGTGGTGATTAGGACTTCTATAGTCCAATCATAGGCACCAGACTCTCACAAAGATGCTCAATGAGGCTATAAACTTTATTATGTTTGGTAACAGTTTCAGCGCAGGATCGATTCATGATCCTGGTACACTGTTACACGGTCACAAGCCAAGTGAACACAGTTTTTTATGGGTCTTCTAGAAATTTGCGGGTTAGTCTTGCTGCATTTAATAATTATGTACTCCTTTTTGAAGGATTATATAAATGGATTTCGGGAGGTCTAACAATTTGATAGATTTATGTAATTGTTTAAGATTATTCCGGTGAATTATGATATCAGACTATTTAATTTTTAAGATCAGTATATTTCGTGATTTTATGAACTATTATTTGTTAGTGTGTTAGTTTGTTTTTAATTTATTTTACTATTATTAATGAACTAGAGATGTCATATGGAACATGGTATAATGGTTGCAGCTCCTTACAAACATTGTAAAAAAAACTTTGCGATTAGGTAAAAACAGTGGTGGAGAGTTTATTGCCAGTTCTTCTCTTCCGTTCTAAGCC